GGTGGGGGTGGCAGCAGGGGCACCGTGGGGAACTGACTGCTCCTCCCCCTCTTGGCTCATTCTGGTGGGTAATGATGCTTGTAACCAGCCTGTCTGCCGGGCTGGCCTGACGGATGGCGGCCTGCGTGCGCCACACTCGGGGGCGCTCAGCCGTGTCCAACGGCTCCTGCGCGCTACGCCAGCCACAGGAAATTGATCCTGTGCTGCAGCACGTTGGCCAGCCAGGCCCTGTGCAGCCCCAGTGTCCTCCTCCCCCAACCCGCACCACCTGGCACCTGCCTCAGTTGCCCTGGGCAGGGGATCACAGCCCTCCAGGGTGCCTTAGAACCTGTGCTTCGTGGCGGGAGTCCAGCTCTGCTCAGCTGAGAGGTGTGGAGGCCCTTGGGCCCTTCCCTCCCCCAACACAGGCATTGTCTGTGTGCCCAGCTCTGCTGTGTCCTTGAGGAGTTTCCCTGGCTGCGATTGTCTGTCTAATGGGGCTGCTAATGACCGGGGGGTGGGGAGTGTCTCCCCTGCGTCATGGACCATTAACTTGCACATGGTCCATGCTGTGTAGAGCTGTGTGTGTGTCTGGCAAAGGCCCCAGTGGGGAGCAATGTTGCTGCAGCTGGGCCATGCCAGGCCTGCTATGCTGCCTCCCTCCTGCCCCCGTCACCAGACCCTGTGCGCTCAGCCTTCCCTGGGTCACGGAGACAGCCCTGCCCTGGCTCAGGGCACTGACAGCCCATGCGCTTGTCCTGATTACCCTGCTCTCTTCTCCTAGACGAGCCTCTCCCGAAGCACACAGTCTGCCAGGTGAGTGCCTGTGCCCGGGGCGGCCCTGGGAGCCAGAGGCCAGCGCTTTGGGGGCTTGTCAGTACTGGCAGACTCCGAACCCGCGGGAGACCAGGCAAAGGCAGGAGCCAGCTCCCTTGCAGCAGCAGAGTGGGGGCTGGGAGCTGGGTTGTGAATGATCCCCTTTGTGTCCACTCTGCTGCCCTGTAGTGCAGGGCCAGATGAGCCTTTGCTCTGACTTGTAACCCTGGCACCCGCCACCCCTGCCTCCGTATATTTCCAGTCGGGCAGGAGCTGGGAGCCCTTGGCCCCTGTGACATATGCCTCCTTCCCCCTGCCACCCAGGTGCAGTGCATTGCCACGCTCCAGGTGGGCTCCATCCAGGCCGGCAGCTCATCTGAATGTGGCCAGTGCTTCAGCCTCTCCTGGATGCCAACCCGACCCCACCACCGCCTGGCAGCTGGCTTCTACGATGGTGAGTGCCTGCTGCGCTGGGCCTCCACGGCCCCCAGGACAGGGCTGCACATGGTGCTGCCCCCCACCCCTCCATGTCTGCAGCCATGGGTCAGTGCTTTGCAAGCAAGCTGTTGGCGCCCAGCAGCCATGAGTTCCTTTGGGTACCCTGCCAGCCCCTCCGCAGTGAGGCATGCACTGGAATAAGTCAGCTAGCACGTGAAATGGACACTGTTCAGTTCACAGGAGCTGCAGAGGGTCTCTAGCCTGAAAAGGTTGAGGGCTGCTGCCACAGTCCCTTGGGGACCATGTGTAGGGAGGTATGGGGCGGGCAGCAACAGGGAATGTCTCCAATAAAGGAAATGAAGAACGTTGGCAAAGCTGCTCAGGTGGAACAGTCTGGGGGGAGGGGGCAGGCTGGGTGCTGGAACCCCGTGACCCACATCTCCCTGCTGCCCTGTCAGGGCTCCACCCGGCCCTGCCCGCCTCCTTTGTCCTGAGCCACAGCCCTCTGCAAGGCCTGGGTCGCCCCAGCCCTGGTCTGTAGCCCCTGCTTCCCCAGTCCTGGATCTCATGTGTGTGGCTGTTGGTGCTTCTGCCCCTTGCCATGGCTGGGCAGGCCCCTGCACCATGCCCCCAGCTGCATGCTGCAAGCTGTCATGCCCAGCCCTGCAGCAAGGGGCGGCTGGTGCAACAAGCACTTTGTGTTGCCCCCAGGCACCGTCGCCATTTGGAACCTGAGCACCATGTCCCTGCTGCAGCGTGTGTACCGGCCCAATGGCTCCCTCAAGCTCTACCCGGCCCAGTGCTTCCTGGCCCATGACCATGCCGTTCGCAGCATGGAGTGGTGCAAAGCCAACAGGTAGGGGCTGGGCCAGGATGGTGGGCTGCTCTGTTCCAGGCAGGGGCCCCAGGGGTGTGGGAGGGTGCTCTCTTCTTTGGGGTCAGGGGCCCAGATACGATCCTGCAGGGGCCTGTTGTGGCATGGGGTGGCTGGGGCGCAGCTAGTACAGGCCAGGTTCGAGAGTCCCTTCCTTCCCTGTTTGCAGTAACTTCCTGGTGACGGCAGGGAATGACCGGAAAATCAAGTTCTGGGACCTGCGGCGCCTCTATGAACCCATCAACAGCATCAAGCGGTTCCTCAGCACTGAGGTCGTCTGGCTGCTGCCCTACAATGGAGTCACCGTAGCCCAGGACAACTGCTATGCCTCGTGAGTGCTTGCCCGGCCCTGCCACGCATGCCCAGTTGGCTGAATCACCCCAGCAGACCCCGATGTTGGGCCCTGGGAAGGAGCTCCCTGCCCTGTATCTTACTCTTCCACCTGTGTCTCTGTTGCAGCTACGGACTCTGTGGGATCCACTATATTGACGCCGGCTACCTGGGCTTCAAGGCCTATTTTGTGGCCCCACGCAAGGGGACGGTGTGGGTAAGTGGCAGGTGGGGTTGTCAGGTCTGCCTGGGATGAGACTTCCGGCATCATGCTCTGCTCCACAGGAAGAGGCGCGTGCCCCCTACTTACCCTGAGCCAGTGCACGGTAGTGCTGTGCCAGGGCAGAGCCCGCCCAGGCCCAGGAGCCCAGGGCCTGGGCCCCATCTTGGGCAGGGTGGAGGCTGCAGCGGCAAGTTGCTCAGGCTGACTGTCCTCTCCCTTGGCAGAGTATCTCGGGCTCTGACTGGCTGAACACAGTGGTGGCAGGGGATGTCACTGGGGAACTGGTGGCTGCTGTGCTGCCTGACTTGGCCATGAACCCGCTCAACATCAAGCGCCCCTCGGAGCGCAGATTTGTAAGAGACCATGCCTGGGGTAGGGCTGGGGGGAGGGGGGGAATCATGCAGCGCTGTGGGGGAGGCTGAACTAGGCAGGGGTGGGGGCAGTGTCCCCGGGGCTGGCTGGAGCAGGACCTAGGCTTCTGTATGGGGCAAGACTGGGGGTCCAGGTATGGCCAGGCCCCACTGCCAGCCTCCTGGGTGCGCCCCACAGTGCCGCATGCCTCAGTGGAGGAGCAGGCCTGGCCAGCACCCAATGTACCATGCTGGCTGGGCATGACCCCCCAGCCTGCTTCTGTATCCATGAGCGGGGCTGGGTTGCACCGTGCTGTGATGCCCGGGGCCTGTTCCAGCTTCAGTGCGTCTCCTCCCGCCCAGCCCATCTACAAAGCTGACCTGCTGCCCTGTAGCCCTGCGGGCGCCCGGGACATGGAGCAGCCGGCACCCAAGGCCAAGACCTATGGCGAGATGGTGGCCCAGCACTATATCCGCTTCCAGGACACCAATCTGGTAGGGGCTGGAGCAGCTTGGGGTGGAGGGGGGCTGACACCACCAGTCTCCTATGGGAGCCCCCTTGAGACCATGCGGGAAGTGCCCACTGCTCCCTGCTCCTAGGGTCTGTGAACCCCTGAGATACGGAGCCAGCAGGAGCCTCTACTGTCCTGGGCCTTGTGTCCTGTGGGCAGGCAGCCTGCTCTGGGCCCCTGGAAGGCAGAGCAGGTTGGGGGGGAGCAGAAGCCAGCAGTGTCTGGACCATGCTGGGGGGGTGGGCATGGAAGCTGTCACAGCCACTGCCTGTGTCTGGCCGATAAGGCCCAGTGCCTCCCTCCACACCCACTGTCGTTCTGGGAAGTGACAGCCCTCCCCAGGGCTCCATCAATCACTGCACTGGGGAGCAGATGGTGCCATGGGCCCAGGAGGGGAGGGGCCAGAGTTGCAGCGCTTCCCCTTTGCCTGGGAATGTGCAGGGCCCCTTCAGGACTGGGCTGGGGTATGGGACATGACCCCTTCCCATCTTGGTACCTAGGGCACCCCCTGGCAGCAGGGCCCACAGGGGCAGGCCCACAGCAGAGCCCATGGCCCTGGGCTTGACACCTGGCAGCATGGCCTGCGCTCAGCACCAGCAGGATCTTTGCAGAGCAGTGCCTGGCTGGTCACTAGCCCCACACTGCTGCCACTGCTGGGCTCATGGTGCCCCCTCCCTGCCCTACAGCACAACTTCCAGAACTTCCCCAGCCGGGAGCCTATGCGCCGGATGCATGCTCAGGAGGTGAAGTCAGGGCTGAGCCTGGACCGCCTGCAGCTGGAGTCCATCCACAAGGTGAGCCTTTTCCCCCCTCCCCTGCTCCTTCCCTTTGCTGGGATAGCCCCCACCTCCACCCCAACTCTCCTCTTCCCGCAGGTTCGCTTCAGCCCCAACCAGGACTCTCATGGCTGGCTGGTGTCGGGGGGCCAGGCCGGCATCGTGCGGGTGCACTGCCTTGCAGGACTTGCTCTGCCTGGGGACTGCCAGCCAGCGCCAGGGCTGCACCCTCCACCCAACTCTGCATCACAGGAACCAACAGCCAGCCCCAGCCCTGGCCCCACTGGGCATCTGCTGTCGCCAACTGAGTAGGCCTCGGGCTGAGCTGCGTTGCAGAGCCCCTGGCTGGTGTAGCCCCTCCAACCTGGCCTCGGGGTCGGACCCTGCAGGGTGTGGGGTGAATGTGGATTTCCGAGGGGCTCTGGCCCCCGGCCCCAGGGAGGAGCCTGCAGGGCAGAAGCTCCACACTGGGCCTTTGGGGCAGGCCCCAAGCTCGGGGCAGGGGCATGGGTGGGGGGCACAGTGTGGGGCCCCAGGGGCTGGCGCTCCACCTGTGTGCATGTGGCTTTGTCGCATCCTGTTTCCTCCTGGCCTGCAGCTGGCTCCAGGGAGTCGTGTCTTTGTGCTGCGCTGTGGGGGGCCGGGCCGGGGCTGGGGCCGGGCACTGGGAGCACTGGGCAGTGGCCCGTAGCCCCAGCTATGTGGCAGCCACAAATTTGCTCACATTGAGCCTGTGATCTTAATTGTTCAGTAAAGGTGTTTGTTTTGTAAAGCCACCACCTCCTCCCTGCTGTGCACAGCAGGGTTCGGGCACGCGCACATAACATGCGGGGGCAGCTCAGGTGTTGGCCCCAGCCTGTGACGCCACTGCTCCCCCCACAGACGGGGCCCAGGCAGCACCTGTGCCCTCCTACCCCACCAATGCATGAGGTCTGTGTCCCCCCCTGCCCCAAGAACCCCTGAGGCCACTCACTTGCTTAAGGAGGACAAGTTTATTGGGTGTCGTAGCCACACGCTGTTGGGTACAGTGAGCCAGGCTTCTCTCACAGCACAACAGACAGACGGACGGGACTGACACAGACAGATGCACTCCACAGGTTCAACAGACGCTGATGGACAGACACACAGAAGGGTGGGGGTTGCCAAGCGAAGTGGGGCAGGGTATTCCTGGATGCAGGCAACTCAGGGCTGGCTTGGCTCTGTGGGAGCAGGGACACCTCCAGTGCTCCAGACAGACACAGATGGGATTGACAGAGCCCCGGCCAGCTCCTGACTTACCTTCTGCTCTGCCCTTCCTGCAGGCCAAGCCTGCAGTGCCCAGGACCCAGCATGAGGCTTAGTGCTCTGGGCTATGCCCACACCAGGCAAGGGCAGGACAGACCCAGAGCTGGGGGGCAGAGAGGGTGGGAAGAAGAGCAGAGACTTGGCTTGGGGGCTGCTGCACCCTGACAGCCAGGGGAGTGCCAGGCAGGGCCCCTGGTTGAGGCTGCAGGGGAGGGACTTCTGCCAGGCTCAGGGGGCTGGACTGCAGGATGCAAGCCAGACCTCCCCCAGCCCCTGGCAGAGCAGGTGTGAGCCCAAGGGACAAGATAAGCAGCCCTAGAAGTTGGCACTGGGGTCTCCCAGGACAGTGCCCAGCACTGCTCTGGCCCAGGGGGGATGTGACTGCAGGGTCCAGGGCCCATCCCCAGGCAGGGCTGGGGGGCGGGGGTTCCCACCCCCTGGAATGTAGGACAAGGCGGCAGTGCCGCGGCACGGGTAACCCAGGGGGGCAGAGCTACACTGGCCCCAGTGCAGGGAGGGGGGCCTGGCACAGGGTGGGGGCAGCCTTGTGGGCTGTGCTGCCAGGTCAGAGTCGGGCAAGGGCACGGCTTGTGTTACAGGGTGGGCCCAGGGTGGCGTTGGCCTGGTTAGGGTGTCCCTGGGTGGTACCATCCTGGAGCTCTGGCCAGCTCTTGCCCGGGGTCCCCGTGGCATTCGCGCCTGCTGGCAGTGGAAGGAGATGGGCAGGCGGTGCCAGGCCCCTGCTGGGCTGCGCAGTGCACTGGGTCCAGCCAGGGCTCAGTTGTGGGGGCCCTGGCACTGTGGGCAGGCGGCCATGTCCTCCAGGTAGCGCTCCACCTGTACCGTGCATGACACGAAGCCAAACTTGCTCTGCAGCTGTGCCGTGGCCTCCTGGAGCACGGCCTCTGTGTCTGCGCCTACGTCTGTGGGGAAGTGGGACAAGTCAGCGTGGGGTACCATCTCAGGCCTGGGCAGCTGGCCAGGACAGGAGCACTCACCTATGGCCACATGCACAGACACCACATGGTGGCTGAGGGTCAGGGCCCAGAGATGCAGGTCGTGTGTGCTGCGCACGCCCTTCACAGCCAGCAGCACATCCCGCACTGCGTTGAACTCCACACCCCGCGGCGCCCCTGCGGAAGCACTCGGAGTCAAGCCAGCACTGTCACCCTCGCGGACCCCCCACCAGGCCAGGCAGGGGCAGGTCCAGACCGGGCAGCAGGGGGGAACCCAGTGGATGACCTGGTGCAGGGGGCGTTGTGGGGAGCCCACAGTTCAGCACCTGCTCAGCAGAGCCCAGTAGGACAGATGCCTGGGCAAGTACTGGGCTGTGGGGGCAGAGGTGGGGGGGCGCAGCTGCAGCTCCAGGATCCTTGAAAGGGACTCGGCTGTCCCTTGGTGCCCTTTGCCCTACGGCTGGCAGTGGGCCCTGCCTCTGCTCCCCCCC